GTGAAGATGTCTTTTTGATCTGGAAGGAATTGGAGGAAGCCAGGAGTACAGTGAGACAAGTTCAGAAAATTTTATCAGAATCTGACCAATCTGCTTCTCAAGATGGTATAATTTATGTTTCTTTCGAGACAGCTACCATTATATTAATGATCAACATCTTTTTGTGAGCAGTTTTGATTGCACTTTAATTTGGGGATGATTTTCTCAGAAATGTCTATATACAGGGTAGCACCTGTAATTGTTATCTAAACTTAGGATTGCTTAAAACTTTCCAATGTGAATCTCTGCTTACTATGGCTTAAACTTGCTAAACTTTAACAGATCAGGCTGAAACACACCATTTTAAGCTTACCAGTGACTAGTTTTAGAAGTTACCTGGATTTTAAGATATGGAAATTATTTTAGTGGGGGTTTTTTGTGATCTCTTCCTGTCTGCCTGAGCCAGTAAAGTTTCTGTTCTGAGTAGTGCTGAGGAAATACCTTATCCTTCTCCCATCACTGTCTTTTTGGGATAGCCTCCAACCTGGTAGCTAGTTCATTCCTCTTAAAGGGAAGAAGTGTGGGACTGCATTTTTGTAATCAAAGGTGAAGTCTGAAAACGATTCAGAATAAGCACTCTGACAACTCTTGTCTTAAGAAACATGGAAGAACACCTACATTTGTTCATTAAACCAGTAGTTCCTGCCATTATGTTTGGTCTAGAACATGACTCATTTGTTGTTCTGTGCATATTAATTGGATTGAACTCTGTTAGAGACAGAAGCATAGCTGGTTTCTGAAGTTCTGTTCTGGAAGGCTTTAACAAGGGATGGTGGCAACCTACTCAGCTCTGCTGAGATGAACATTCTCTGAGCATGCTCTGGAGCAGAATGATCCCACTGACAAGACTCAAATACTAAAAGCTTAGGAATCTGTAAAATTTAGGCAGCTTCAGCACCGGACTGCAATTGAGGGGGTGGGTTTTCAGGATGACAGCCAAGATTGCCAATGCTTATTATCTTCATTAGTCCTGGTTTTAAAATACTTACATGTTATCCAGTGGTGGGTTTTTTTTTGTGTAAGTTGATGCAAGATTCAGGTTAAATTAGCACTAGTCATGGATCATTTTGTGGAGCTCTAGTACTGCTTTTGCAGTTGCTTTTCCTTTGTGTAGGTTGAGGCTGGGGCCAGATGGCCTTTTCTGGATTATCTACTGAAGAATGCATTGTACAATTAGTTGGTCAGTAACTTGAGCTGTGTTGAGATGTGTGACTGGGGTGGTGATGATGAAGATTTGAAGCTGGGAGCTTTCTCTGGCTCCACTGGGTTTGAATTTCTGTCCTTAACACAACTCTAATTAAATCTAGAGGTGTTTTTCATCTGTGAAGGCATAATATAGTTTGTTACACTGATAAAAGCATATTCTGGCTAAGTGGGACTTCCCATATGAAATTAAACATCTCATCTGTAATGCATGTGAACAAAGAGACCACAATGAAACTCCAAGGACAGCCCTAATGTCTTGATTAATAAATTAAAGGAAACAAAACTACAGGGTTTTTTCAGTTCTTCAGCATTATTTGGCTATTGCCCATTGATTCAGACTGTAGTCTTTCAGTTTGCATGCATTTATTCCTGGTTTTGCCTTCCTGATTGGTTTAAAATGCTTTGTGGCAAAATGTCTCTACATAAAGCATGTGGAAGCAAAACCAGCAGTTTTCTTTTCAAAATTGTGTCAGCACATTTGTGACACATTTTTTTAAGGGCCAAAGCAATCATAAAGCAAATGTTTCCACACAAACAGGCTCTCATTGTGCACCTGCCCTGATGCTGGCTGAGCTCTGTGTGTGTAAGGGCAGTAGACGCCTCCAWAGATTTATTTACAGGCTCAGGATCTCACTGCTGCGGTTCTAAACTGAGTAAACATTTATACCAGCTTGGTCCACCAAAAATAAAGTGTAACAAAAGGAATTCACCCTGCTATGAGACCCACTGCCTGGTCATTTGGTTTTTTGGGATAGTGATGAGTGAGTAGAGAGTCCAGTATTGTATTATTTTATCTGTATTAACTGTAAACTGTACTGGTATTCAGAGATGTGCAGTACCCTACCTTAACATAGTCCTTGGAAAATTTATAACACAATATGACATTGTACTTTGCCTTTYGCTTTAAATAGCCATGTCCAGAAAGATTAATGTTAACCAATGGTCTCAACTGTATTTTGAATTATATGTTCTGTTGTTTCATTTTCTCAATTGATTCTCCTTGAAGTTAGACATCTTATTTAGGAATACTTTCTGGCATTTGGTAATTCAACTAAGAAAATTCCTTTTATRTGTTGATCTTCTCACTATTGTCCTTGCTCCCTGTCTTCTTGTTGGGTTTTTTCCAGTTACAAATGAATTCGTTGCAACAAGTTGTCTGATAAGAAAAACCCCACAGCCAAAGTGGAGATGATTAAAAATCACTCAGAAATATCTGTTCACTCCAGTACTGTTTGAGCAAGCAGAACAAGTTTGAAATTGTTGATTCTAGKATCAGAGTCTGTTTTTGAAAATAACTTATCCGAAATGAACCATGTTATACAGGAGATTTTGTTTGTTTTATTTTCTTTATTAGCAAACAAAGGTGATCATCCATTACCAAAACATATAACTGACAAATATTTGACTTCTGAGAAGTGGTTGCAGAAATATGGCTTGAAAGCTCAGAAGCTAACATTGCACAATGCACTTGCTGATTGTACTTTTCGCCATGTAGATGGGATTGTTGACATAAAAACTAAACCAGAGGATGAATCTTCACAAACTGATGCTGTGAGTATCATTCATTTACCCTCACATCCTTGAGCTGTTTGTTTTTTCTTTTAAAGCTTGAAAACTTCATTGATGGATGAATTGATGGTATAGTGTATGGCCTTGTTGTTTGTAGTTTTTGTTATTTGTTGTTTATTAGACCAACAATGTCTGGAAGAGCTATTTGAGAATGGCTGCTTTAAGGACGCCTTGCTGGTTCACATATAATCTAAAAAGGAGAACAGGACTGGCTTAAGCAATGCCTTGGYTTTATTTGTGTTTCTGTGGGGTGGGGCAAAGATTGCTTGTCATCTTTACAGGATCTGTTAATCTCAGCTACTGCAGTGTCTTGCAGGTCCTTAAGAAAATTTGTAATAATTTGTCTTCTATTTGTTTTTCACAAGATTTACCACTGTACTGTTTRGTAAGCCTCTGGGTTTTGCTGCAAGAATAAAACCAGTTTCTATTGACTCTTGCTAAAAGCAAATTCTGTGACCATCCTGYTCCCATTCATGTGCAAAAAGCTTGTACCTGTGAATATTAAAGGCACTGCAGAATAATATGTTTTGGAACATGGAATGTGTTTTTCTTGGTTGTAGGAGACAAAGAGGAAGATAATTCATGCAAGGTACTGTGACAAGTTTGTGCATACCCTCTGGAAAGATGGATCTGTAGTTCATGTAYATGTTACTACAGAAAAGTATAAGCAGTACAAAGAGAAAATGAGGACAGCTCTCAGACGAGTGGAAAGAAGGTTAGTGTTCTGTCACATAAAACCAGTTTGATTATTTTACATGAGTGYTGAAAACTTTGACATTTACTGTCATTGTAAGTTGAAGTGGTTGGTAAACTGACAGCAGCAGTACTAAGCCACAAGACTATTTTAAATCTGAATCTTTTATGTAGGATTTCTTAGTAGACATATAAGAAAACTCTTAAGGACTTTCATCTTTTGTTCTCCTTCTGAAACACAGGTATGAAAGTCAGTCTGGACATTTTTGAATTGCTCCTAAAAGTTCCAAAAAGTATTTGGATTGTAGGATGGCAGACAACTTCATGACTCATCAGTGAAACTTAGCACACATTCATCCTGTGCACCTAGGATCCCTTGTGACACCAAGAGGCACAGCTTGGCTTGTGCCCCTACTRATAGTGGTTCTCTGCCCTTTCTGCAATGTCGAAGACAAGTTTGAATAGTCTAGGTCAGAGTCAGGGCATGATTTATTAAGTAATGCACATGATCAGAAGTTCAGTGCTCWAACTAGCCCCCTAGTTTACATTGCTTCAGCTGACACTTAGGTTTTGTATGACATCTACAAAAAAATAAGCATTCTAAGGAAAACCCATTGTAGAACAGAAAAAATAAATGTTGCCTTCTGTTTTGTATACTTGGACAATGAGACGTCTCATGGAAACAAGCAGGACATGAATTTTCATTTTATTGGTGAATTTTTCATTTTAGTGCTGCTTCCCTACCAAAAGCATAACAGCCTAGCTATATTTAGCAAGTCAAACAGAGTTTTGTTATTCCTTCTAGTTTATCTTCATCTTACTGTATTTAGGATAACATTCACATACTTTCAATGGAAAATTTGAGATAAGCAGTTTTGGTGAGCATGTATTTTTGAAATCCAAGTCAAGATTAAGGGCTTGCTGTTTTGGATGTTTAACTAAATGTTAAAAAGTCTGGGTAGACCTCATCAAACCCTTTGGGGGAAATAACTAATGACAAAATAGCTCTCAGTAGCTAATGTAATAGGATCTTTAAGTGTCCATGATACCATTTTTTTGAAACCTTTTGTGGAGATGAGTATTTTCCCCAGGGCCATTATGTCCTCTGTGTTAAATGTCTCTGTTTCAGAGTATATGAGTATTTTATGACTGTCAAGGGAAATCAGATTTGGACTTGCTGCAGCSATTTACTGAAGAAATGTTCTTGTGCACAGCAGTATGTATGCACACATTTAGCTGGCAGGCACACTCCTATCCTGTTTATAATGTAAGTCTAAGTCTGTATTTAAGGCTCAAGGTCCACAAACCATTGAAGCATCTGTGTTATATTAGGACTCTCCAAATGCTTAAGTTCCTTGGAGAATAGGTTCTCAAGTGGTTTCCTGAGAAGGGAGGCATAATAGCATAAGCCTAAATGATTTACTGAGATGAGTCTGGAGAACAGATACAAGGACAATAGTTATAGTTGCTTTCACACTGGATTCCCCAGCYCTAATGATCTGAAAACTGACTTTAGAAAGGTGCCGTATTGTTTTGTCTTTTTTATTTGTCTGTCTCCAGATTTCTACTGGAATTAAAAACTAAAAATGTCTTTTATATGTTATGCAGGGCCAGGGACTGATTCATCAAGGCCTTCTGACAGTGACTACTAACAGGTGCTTAGGGAAAGAGAATAAGGGGTACAGCAGTGCAAAAAGATCCTACCTTTCAGATTCTGGTACACAGAGCTCCAAAGATGCTACAAAACAGGTCTTGATATTTTTTTTTCCTCCCCCAGGATTAAGTGGCTTCAACAAGGAAGCAGAAGGCTTTTTGGGAATGTAGTTGAAGATGATGTCTATATTCTTATTGATACATCCCAGTCTATGAACAACAAGCTGCCACTAGTGAAGGAAAAAATATTTCAGCTCATACAGGTATGACTGTGAAGGCTGAGGATCATTTTAGAGTAAGCTGATCTTTTCTGAATGGCTGTTACTCTACTTTAATTTRTTTTTTAAATTATTTTTTAAAAATAGCAGCTTTATAAAAACATTTTGATTTTCCTTCATGTGTTCATTTTTTAATTAAGAATGTATATCTTCCTCTCATTTATACAACTATTTGAAAAAAGCTGAAGAAATGTTAAAAATTAAAAAGGCTTAAGTAGTTCTTTCCCTCAAGCCACTTCTCTTCTAAAAGAAAAAACAAACAAACAAACAAACACCAACAACAAAGAAACCCCAAACCAAAACCAAGCTATTCAATGAAATACCTGTTGGCGTTTCCATTTCTACTTTTAAGCAATGTCATCCAGTTCCATTGGCTTGTTGTGATTTGTAATGTGTGTTCTGTATTCACTTTCGTGCWTCTACAATAGAGGGTGTAGAATATTTTGAAGTTCCTTGCATCTCACAGTGACTCAGAACTTTGCAAAGGGACTTAAAAAGTGCAGAAGTATCTCAAAAGCTATGAGTACTGGGAGACACACCTAAGACAAGATTTGTCTTGCCTAGTTTTTGAAGTCTAAAATTATGTCACCTAAGCTTACATTAATATTTCAGAGATATGATTAATCTTAWTTTTTTTAATACTAAGAGAAATAGCTGAAGTAAAAATTTAGTCTGTCATCAGTAGCAATCATTAGTAGAACTAGACAAATTAAAACTATGACAGAGAGGTTTTTGAGCTAAGTGCTCAAGTCATAGGACATAGTATCTTGGGGTCCTCTAAGCAGACCAGCACTAAAAATGTCTTAGATACTGTGCCAGAATTACTGTTTCACAGTCAGCTGCACAAAAATTGTGATGAAAGGGAAGACTTCAGTCTCTAAAAGTTTGTACTCATACAAATTTTTCCTGACTTATAACTYCTGTCCAAAAGCAACTTCAGCAAATTCATGATTTTTTCCTGCTGTCCTAGTTCCCCTTGCCAGTGCTCTTCATATGATTCTTGTTCTCCTCCTCTAARTGGTGTCTTTCTTTCTGATTTCAATTTCCTCTGGTAATCAGTGATAATCTCTTTCTTACACCACTGATCATGCCCAGTTTCATCTTTCTCCTTCAAGCTCTCCTAAGTTTTTGCTGTTCAAAATGTTTGAGAAATACGATTATGTGGTTATAATTTTAAGCAATCTTATAAGTTGCAAGAAATAATCRTCTCTGGTTTTGTATGTCTCTCTCTACACCGTAATTTTAATTCATTTTCATATTCTTTCCTTTAATAGTAGGTAAAATTCAGGTACTGTCTCTTGCAGGAACAACTGAGACACAAGAAGAGATTTAACTTTGTGAAATTTAGTGCCCAAGCAGTGGCATGGCAAGAGAAACTTGCTGAAGTTAATGAGGAAAATTTGCAAGATGCTTGGCTTTGGATAAAAGGGCTTAAGGTAATATGGCAACTAGTTATCATAAAGCGTGTTTGTTCAAAGTTGCATAGGTTTCTCTTCTTTCTGTGTGGCTGGGGTGATTTTGTATAGACTAAGTATTTGACTTGAGTAAGCTGAAAATATAGATGATGTATGAACTTAAGTACATCTGAATACAATGTATCTGTCAGGTATAATAATCCTTTAAMAATGGACCTCTTTATAAGATCATATGTCTCAAGCTGCAGCCTGCTATGTTTAGTAGCCACAATGCGAGCATTGGCCAATTTGAATTCCGTAGGAACCATGACAGTGCTCAGCCCCTGTGTCGAAATTTGTCATTCTTGCTGCAGGGCTGCTGCATGGATGAGAGGTGTTGGTGGCAAACTTACAGCTCAGAGGTGGCACAGGAAACCAATGCCAGCAAACTGAAGAAGCATTTCTAGACCCTTTTGATGATAGACAGCTAACTTTAGGTGCTGTAGAAACATGAGAACAAACATACTCAGACCAAACATCTGTCTATCTACCCAGTATTCTTTCTCYGACAGTGGCCAARATCTGAGGATTTTTCCCTGAAACAGAGCAGAACTGCTTGTAGTCAGCTACAGTCATCCACTGGATTTTAACTATCAGCAGCTTTAGGACCACTTAACGTGTAAAATGTGGACAGCAACGTTATGAGCACAGGACTGGAAATCAGTCATATAATGGTATAGATACATCCCACATTATGTTTTCTAACACAAACTCTCATGTTCATGTAATAAAACTCCTCAGCATTATGACAGCTCTTCTTCAGACTTAATATATTCCTGGGGATGAGGGAATTGGGGAAGCTATGTAATATCTCTGAGACGACAAAGCAAGATCAGTAATTTGGTATTCAGACCAACACGCAGAGAAAAGGAAGTATTAGCGTGGCCTCTCTGAGGGGTGTATTTAGCCTAATTTTGCTGCCTTCCCTGAGATTTGAAAACTTGGCTCTGTTTAAGGCATTTAAGTTGTACAGCATCATGAAAGTTCAATACTTTGAACTACCATGTTTTCATACCATAATGTGTATGCATTTGTGAATGGCCTTTTCTGTATTATTTATAAAATTGTGTATTTTTGATTATTAATTTCATTTTAAGTTTGGACCTAGATATCTGAAATGGAATAGGGAATGACACAAGAAGAGTCTACTTTCTTTCGGGGATGACATCTGCTGCTGACCTTTTAGCCTCTTGTAAGCATTGCAGGAGTAAGTTTGAGATCAAAAAGCTGGTTTTACAGCTGAAACGAACAGAGGATTGCTCTGGAATAATTATCAGAGTAGATCCTTTGATCCTATTTTATGCTTTTTGGTCCCACGATTATTAATAAGGAAGCTGAGATATAAACATAACTATCTGGTCCTTAAAAATCCTTTAGAAGTGATAACATTTAAATTATTTAAAATGGTAGTAATGTTGTAGGGGTAGAAGTTTAAATATGTCATCATTGTTTGAATACTGATAAAAGCAGTGTTCATTTGTAACGGTAGCAATTGAGAAACCTAAAATGAACAGCTTTTATCATAAGGTACATGGTTATTTTCTGCACATGATCAGAATCCACCCAATGTTCTCATGATGTAAAAATAAGTGAGAGAAGCTTTTTTTGCTTCAAATCAGTTCAAAACTATTATCAAAAAGACCCAGGATGGCCCATTTACAAATGTGAGAGATGTGTCTAAAACTTTATAATGCTTACTAAGACATCAGGAATATTAAATAAATTTAACAGAAAGAAAATGGCTGGTTATTTCCTATGAGTGGGTACTAGTAAGGATTGCTTGTGAGTTGAAAGATAAGATTATAAAGCAGATGAATTATYGTGTTGCCCTACAGAATAACTCTCAGAGTGTACCTCCTATTCCATTTTACCTGATTTCCTTCTCCCCATTTTAGTACAACTGTTTGCTGGTAGGAAGGATTGGAAGAAGTTTTAAAACAATTAAAGACTGAAGAAATAATGCTATCTCTTAACATATTTTTGCATGTATGGGTATGGGTCAATTGTTAGAGATTTACATATATCTTCTGGAATGCCTTGGTGTAAATACTGAGTCTCTTCTCGCACCACTACAATCCTCACTGCCCTCCAGAGCAGTACTCAGGTGTTATACAAGCATAAAMCAGACTCTTACCTTTTTAGAGGTTTTGCTTTGGTTCTATTAAAAGACTAAGACTTGACGGAATAGTTTTCCATACTGGTAAAACCTTACATATACCTTTACTTTATAAGGTTTTGTACAAAATGTTTGAAAGTTGGACATTTGAAAATATAAAATTCAGGTTTTAGGTTCCAAAGCCATGAAATGCATTTCATTAAGTTTAGTGTAAAAAGAAGAAAGATAGTTCAATCACTAAGTGTGAAAATGACACAGGAAAGTGCGAGTATTACTCCAATTGAAATTTTTAGTGAAGATGGTACTAGTTTGCATGTTTTGTTGCTATAGCTAACTTTCATGCTAAAATATAAATGGCATTTATGTTAATGTACCAAGGAGGTAGATGGGAGAGAGTGTGGAAAATATGTTTGGAAAACCAAGAACTCCTTTACCAGTTTTTGAGAAATAAACTTGTACAACTCTTCTGTGCAACTGTTGAACTGTTTGATTGAGTAAAATATGTGTTTTGAGGGAGTGTGATGAGTTGGCAAGCAGAAGCATCRGTGGGGAAAATGAAGACAATGTATCTTTTGTCTCACATCTTCTAYCTGTTTATAGTCTTTATAGTGATTGCTTTTACTTGTACAGCTCAGATTTCTGCTGCCAGCAGTTTGCTTATGTGTTTGCATAAGCACTGAATACCAATCTGGTACCAATTTATGTTTCTTTGACAATTGCTTAGATTTTTCTAGCTACATGACGTAAATGTTTTCACCATTTTATTAGTCATTTTGGTTCTGTATTATCCCTTTTATCAGTACACTGTCATTATGAATTTACAAACAGTGGCAAAGAACTGTTGGTATTTATAGGTGGTTCTTTTTCTCTTTGGTTTCCTAGGTTGGAAGTTCCACAAATACTCTCAAAGCTCTCCAGATTGCTCTTGCTGATACTGACACTCAGGCTATTTATCTCTTGACTGATGGGAGACCTGACCAGGTATTTCTAAAATGAGAAAACAGGAAATGTAGAAAAGTGGTGTTAGAAGTTGGAATTATGAGATGAATATCATGCCTGAAATATTGAGTSTTATGGAGTCTCTTGGATGTTTATTGTCATTGTTTCACAGTTTTTCTAGCTAAGAGCATACATTAATATTTTGCCAAAGAATAATTTGGCTTCATGTGCACTTGTTCATATTCTTATTTTTAATATTTTATTAAGCTCAAAATTAGTGAATAAGTGATTTCTTTTTACCTGGTTAATGATGTCTTGTATGATTTACATTATACCTTTTTAACAGTTAAAAAAAGGAAATGGCCAMTATTGCTTTTAACTATTACACTGCAATCAACACAGCAGTTGTATTGCAAACATTGTTTAATTTGTCAAGATTTTTGAGTACTTTGAACAACTGAAGCATTATCASGATTTGGAGAACTGAGTCAATAATTTTTCTCTATGAGATTTTAGACATGGTAGATCTACTTTTTCACCTAATTTTTATTTCTTTATGGGAGGAGGAAGCTACCTTTCCTATTTTCTCAGACTCTACTTTGTTTCCTGGTATTGAATCAATTTTTCTTCGAATTAATTTAGCTTCTTAAAAATATCTATACTAGTAGACTTCCAAAAATATTTATATATAAATATATCCAGTGATACTAAACACTAATGTAGTAGTTTAATTTCCTATGCATTAGTAATTTCTTTTAAACTTCAGAAACAAGAGTAGTGATTATATTACAATTTAAATCATGTGCCTTAATGTATTATCAATCTTTCAAAATCCATTTAAAATTAGCTYATTTTATGTAATTATGAAATAGCAATCTGTATAAAGTGGATGCTTTTAACTGATGTATATCTGTCTCTGAGCAACAGAATGACTGGATAAATTCTTAGAAATTCTCCATGTTTTGGTGTTTCTAGATGCAACATTTTCAAACTAAGGGTTTTTTTTTATTTTCAGCCCCCTCCAATAATTTTGGCTGAAGTCCAACTTCATGGTAAAATTCCCATCCATACTGTATCTTTCAACTGTGATGATATAGAAGCCAATAAATTTTTGTATGAACTATCAACACAAACAGAGGGACGGTTTCATTATTACAACATTTATTCGACTGATCCTGATAGTGCAGAGTTTATTGTTGTGAGTATCTGAAAATAAATGTAATTGCTGCTCCTTGCTACTAGGAGGAACAATGATTTGTATTATTGTGAATTCATATTACAGTAGATTACTAAAAAAAAAGACTGTTAATCCTAGTCAGATTTGAAGTGACATGAAAGCAATAATAKGATCTTTTTTGGCTTGTGAAATTTTTCTAGACCACAACAGAAATGCCTAAATAGAATGCAAAGTAAATTTGTAGTGCTATTGTTGCAAACACATTCTCTATCCCCTGACCCCCTCAACTGAAAACTGAAACCTGAAAGTACGTGTAGACCAAATCAGCTTTGGAACAAACACATGATCTCTGCTGTTTCAGAAATAAGTTWCTGTTTAAAATGAAAATATGTTTTGTATCCTCTTAATAAATAAGAGAATGCAGAGCTGAATTTGAATGATAATGAATGAATCTGTGCATTTTGTTACAAGTTTATTCTACAGTAGCTGCTGGGGAGAGATCTAYTGGGAGTAAAATGATTAGAATAGCAGTCATCTATCAAGTGTGACTAAGCAGCTCAACAATCCCCAATAGGAAATTTCTGAATAGACTAACAGAAACACCCATTTGAAACATGTTCTTGCTTTTAATTAAAGTTAATTGATTGCATAGATTTCAGAAATAGTGGTAGTGGAACCATGAGARCAAGCAGGAGCAAGACAGTAGCAGGAAATTTGAACTTTGCAGACTCCCATTAGAAGGAACATGTGAAAATAATCCAGCTCTTGAAAAATACCAGTGTAGGGGTAAATTTCAGTGATTCTGCTGGTATGAACTGTGTGACGTGGCTAATGTTGGAAAAATGAGGGCCAGAGTCTATTGTACATCTCCATACTTGGAGATGGGAGCCTGTGGTCCTGTGGGAGCTATAAAGGGATCCTTGTTGGAATTTCCTTCCTGTTTCCCCCTCTAGTCCAAATGATTCCCAGTCAGTTAYAATGTTCACTTGAAGAGTGTGTTTTTTTGCCTTCCTGGGGCAGTATTTGATACAGCCAAGATCTGTAGAACGACAGGTTACTCCTTATAATGTACATTATTTGTATTGTATTTTATTTATTTGCTTTTTTATTTTCTTGCTTGCTTGAAATGAATGAAGCTACTGGCCTCATTTCCTTATTCAGAAATACAGCTGTTCATATCTCAGGGGGTAACTGGCTAGTTAGGGAATGCTTCTTGTTTTCCTAGAAAGGAAAAATAATATGAAGGGCTGTAATGCCAAGCACAAGAGCCTACCAGAAAAAGTATACAAGATTTGAAAGCTGTCTGAGTCATTATTCAGAATTATTATCAGAACTTGCATAGTTTCAGTTCAGAAATGGAACATATTCAGGAGTWATAGTACTAAAACATTTTGTTTTCTTTGTGTTAGAATGAAGACATACATCTTTTGAAAAGAGAAATAGATCAAGGAGAGAAAGATTTAGAGAAAGTGAAGACCTTTCATGAGAAAAGTCTGATGATGAATTCTTATAATGAAGAAAATTATCCAGGGAATAAGTATGTCTTCATACTGTTACTTTGTTAATAACAGATGGTAACTATCTATTACATCTCTCCTTTTTACACTGCCTTGYATTTTTAACCTCTGACATTCTCTTTTAAAATGAAAGGTTGTTGATTTCTTATTTTGGGGATTTTTAAAACAGCCAAGCTAATGAAAAAGAAAAATTTGGAAAAATGTAATAATGCTGTCATGCCTGAAACATAATTAACTCAAATATACCAATAGTCTCAACATATTACAAATAATTAAAGCAAAGAGGGGATTTTTTTTTCTCTAATACATGGTAAAGTTGCTCCCTCTGACCTAGACAATTCACGAAACATTATTGTCATCTAAATAGAGCTGGCTTGGTGCTTCATGACTAAATTGTTGATCATTAGGATATGCTTATTGAAACATAAATTAGGTACAAATATATTTATGTATTTATTTGTGCAGTGATAGTGAAAACCATAAAAATTGCATTAAAAGAAATCAGATTTTTTAAGACAGAAATATATTTAAAACAGTAAATTAAAGATATGAAAATAAAGTAAAATTGAGTAAAAGTAGACAGTGATATCTTATGATTTCATATGTGTGGAAGGGCAGGTAGAATGTCCAATATGAAAATATTTGAAAGTGTTTATTTCATAACTTGCATACTTCATTTTTTGTTAATGCTGAGACATAGATATATATGTATGAGTGTGTATATATACATTTATATCCGCTTATATATGTGTGTGGCAGGTATTTTCATTGCTAATGGTAGGCCTACTTAGCACTGGGATTCAAAGTAGCTGTTACAGAACATTCTGTCCATATTAAAAATATACGAGGGAGTTACCCTAAAAGTAATGAACATCTTTTAAATAAACTAAGAAATTACTTTTAAATAATTAAAAAACTTAAGAATATTTTAACCTCCTTTGAACTCTCCTTTGAAATGCATATTAGTAGAACAGAGAAAATACTTTGCACTGTTTGAAGCATTTGAAATCAGTGTTTAAATTACCAGAGAACTTCAGCATAGTGTTTTTTAATCAGTGTTAAAAATTTGCARTAATTTCTTTTTGTCCCTTACAAGCAGTAATCACAAGCAGACACAYGCTGTGTTTCTGTATCTAAACACATTGAAGAGCTGAGTACTTTTCTTAACAGAACTCCATGCAGTGCTTCAGAAGAACCATCAGTGCCATCACATGAGCAAACSCGGCAAAGCAGTGCTGACAGTCCAGCCCAAAGAAAGCAAGCATTATATGCAAGTAAGACTCAAATGAGCTGTAGCAGAATTCATGCACTAACTTGAAAAGATTCTGTTGCAAATAGCAAAAATCATCACTTGTTTTGGGGAGAAATTAAGTATTTGCTGACTTAAGTAATCATAATTTWAAAAATCTTAACTTCTCTTCATCTCTACTTTTAGATGAGCCATCTTACTCATTTGGCCCAAACAGACAAACAAATGTCTTCTCATTTGTGCTTTGTTGCAGGCCCTGCCATGGAAAACCAGCTATTTTAGCAGAACATTTTGAAAACTCTGTAAACAGTTTTTTAACAGTTGATATTAAACCCTAATGACTTTTAATTCTAAAAAAGTACATTATTGGCAACAATGAAGAGATGATCTGTATTTCATCATTACAGCATTACTTTCACTAATGTTTCCTCTTGCTACTCTAGTTATACTACATTTCTCCTGGAAGTGTCCCCTGTATGCAGTCTGAAACCAAATTTACCCAGATGAAATAAAATAAACCCTCATTSTTGGGGAAAGTACAAAGTACAATTTAGTGTTGAAGTAGTTTTGTGTTTGAGGTCTTGTGTAGGCAATCCCTTAAAAACTGAATCCCAAAGAGGAACTCAAAAATTCCAGGCATGTATTTGAGCAGCAAGTTTGCACTTCCTTTCTTTCCCTTTCAACAACTACAGATGAAACAAAGACGAGTCTGCTGCAAATCCCGAGCCRTGGTGTGAAATCTAGGGAAGGAAGACCAAAGGAAGGAGAATCTCCAGAGGAAAAGAGTTCTTCTGTCAGGAAGGGTGTGAAATGCACAACCATTCTCAAAGGCGAGTTGGCAGAACAAGAGGCTTCGAGTGGGGCAGTTGATAACATTTCTTTCATTACATCATTTGTACCTAACGGTGCCTCATTTGGTGCAAAACTGTGCACGTCTGCAGTACAAAGAATTGAAACTCAGCAGAGATGCAGAGYTGTACATGAAGTTGTGTATTGTGACAGTGTCCTTACTCCTGCCAGTTCCCAAACTAGAAGTTTACAACAGGATTTTCAATWGGACTTAGAAATTCATCCAGATAGTATTAATTTCTTTCAGTAATTAGACCAACTCTGAACTTTATGATGCATCCTCTAAGTAATTCTAAAACCTTACCTATGACACTTGAAGATGTTTTAAAATTACTTTTTTACATTTCAGCATCTTGTGTTTAGTTTTTTATATATCTTTATATTATTTTTATCTTCTTATATTATTTTATATAATTTTTATGTATCTTTTTCATAGTGGTGTACCTTAAATTAGCTACTCCTGTCTATCTCATCAGTGATAGTACTTGATATGGGAAATAAAATGGTTAATCTTTGATTTTGGTCAAAAGTAAATAAACTGAAACAAATTTGAGTTTCAAAAATAAATTGCATACCTATTTAATACATTTCCTCKCTGGTTAATTAAGGCTCATGAGGCATATGATAACACTATTACTATTGATCAAGCACCAAGAAACTGAGGAAAACTAATTCTTATTGATTGATTTAGCAAGTGAAATGTTGCCTAGTCTGTATGTCATGCTGCTTGTAGTCTCAAACTAAAAAATGGTGCTATTATATGGCAACTTATTTATGCATATTTTTGTGTGCACAGAACCTCAAGAATAACAAAATGCAAATGTTTTYTCTTAGATCTGAAAATGCAGAATGTGGAAAGGACATCTAAAAGGTATGTGTGTACATAAATAAATGTGTAACAAAACTTATAGYTTATATTTTTCTCCAGTCATTTCAAGCCTTTCAAATGTATTTCTACCTTGTGCTACATCTCACAGTCTCTCTTTTCTAGCTCTCTAGATATCTCTTCAKCTCTTTGGTTAAAGACCCATGGCTTGGTTGCTAGGCGACTCACCATCATGGATGCCRTAGCTCCTACAACTGACCCTCATAGTACCAAAGACATCCCAGTTCTGGACAAGCATGTAGTTTCTAAAGCATTTGATAAGGTAAAACTCTTACACTGTTCGAAAGCTGAAACAAATCTTGGTAGTGTTTTATAAGGAATTAAAAAAATTAATTTCTATTAATATCATAGTAGCATTATCTGGTATTGTAGATAGTTGATGTGCACTAATTGTATAATTCATATCTGAATGTTCATTCATGCATCATTAAGAAGATAAAAGTAATAGTTAATAGTAGTACTTCTTGCATTCTTTACCCTTAAGTTCTTTCACAGTTGCAGCTACCAGCTGATGGCAGTGTGCAGCCACCAGGTGTTTGGCAATTTCTTCAGCACCACAGGCTCCACTGATACTTATTAATTCACTGGAGTATGTATTTTATTTCCTACAGTATTTGGAAAATGGTGCACACTTTGTGGATATGTGCATTCTCAATGTCTACATGTAAGTGCTAAGACCTTTTGAAAGTATTGTAATGCAGTAATTAAAATTAAACTTTGATAGGTGTAGACAGTTGTAAGATGGCACAAAATTTTTGGTGAATTGTGTATCATAAAGCTCTAATTGCCATTCCACTTAAAGGAAATCCATTTCATGGCAAGTTGCTCTAAGTTTTTTTGTGTGATGCATCCTACAAAAGTCATATGAATATRCTGCAGCTCGTTTTAATTAATAAAAACTTTTTCTTTAAACAATACACAAAGAAAAAGCTAGACAGAATTTTTTTAAATAATAAAGAATGAATAAGGGATTTGTAAAAGAATGTGGTGTAGTACTAAGTAAAAGATAACAAATGTACATAATTGTACATTTAAAAGTTTTTATGCTTGTTTTTTACATTTAGGAACAGGAATTTTTGCTAAGTCATGTAGACTGTGGAAAGAAAACCAGGTGCTCTCTTTTGGTAAAACCAGTTCCTCTCCTTTGGTAAAACCAAGTCAAACCACAATCTGTAAGGATTTTTTTGTAAGTGTGTTTAAAAAAAAAATAGAGTTAAAATGTCTTTTTATATGAGAGCATTTAATAAGGCACATTTTGACATTTCAGATGTAAAAGTGCCATTTTTCAAAAAAATTCAGACATCCAATGATTACAAAACTCTGCAAAATGATCTAATGTAAATGTCAAACAAAAGACATGAATTTCACGTAACTTTTACATCTCATTTGTGAGCAGTCACTTCTTTTTCCATCTTCTTCTGAATATATCTAAGAGGAGCTCTTTCTTCCATGTTTCTCAGTGAAGAGCCCTTTAAGTCTTTTACAGACAACTSTTRCAAAAAAACAAAAGCASTCTGTAAAAACAGACTGTCKTTGAAAATGGTCTAAAATWTGATTTAGMGWGTATTGTATACAAGTAGTTTTTAAYGRCAATTCATAGSAGCTCCTGGTAGCTAGTTCTAGTTCTGGAATCAATTAAGTTCAGTGTTATTTGAATAAACAAGTGCTGTACAGAATCCAAACAGTGATCYATGGGCTTTCTTTAGATTCAGGAATGTAAAGGTGATATAATAATTTCTGTAATTTCTTCATACCTGATAATCTCCATTAGTTGTGATCAGACACTTACGTTCTCAGGCAGTGGAGAATTATTGTTCTATGTGTAGAGGAATGTAGTTTTCTGATTCTGAAACTGAGTATAGAAAAGAAAAAAAAAGGCTGAGGGTTGCACACAAGGTGAAAGCAGCAGAATTTATGAGCTACAGAGCCCACTTTACCTCAAGCTTCACGCCAGCATATGSAGAAAATAGGGTGAGACTAGACATAGAGCTTGAGTAGGAGACTTTAAGGTGATCTTGATTCTTCTACTACTCAGAAGATTTCATTGAAAATAATAAATRTACAGGTAATTTAACATTCTTCTTTCTGAGATCTTCGTTTTCTTGGTGTGGAATGCAGATATCTTTGTTTGCTTTTGAGGGGCTAGTATAATTTTTTGTCTTTAGCCTTTGCCAGTAGTGATGATGGRATAACTATGAACAGTTTTCTTTGCCTTGGAGATGCACCAAGAAAAAGGTTTCTATGACAACTACTCATTAACAAAAGGCTGACCTRTTGTTTTCAGTTCTCTGCGATCTGTCAGTTTCACCTGATTTATTTCAAAGAAATTAATTTATTAAACTACCCATTCAGATTCATATTCAGAAAATAAARATGGCTTGGGAGCTTGTCTAAATTATGCTGTGGTAATTCTGGAGGAAAACTTACCAGTAGAATCGTGGGAGTATATGCGCAGGTTGTGTCATTGTACATACAAGTTAGCAAGTCATGGAGTTTTGACTCARTACATTGCTCAAAAGAATTACATTCAACAAAAACATCTTTCTTTAGTCTAAAATAAGAAAAATTTCAGAGTGTTATTGTGCTTTGGTTTTTGTCTTTAAGATTTTGAAATTTTGGGTTTGAAATAAAAGCCATTTTGAAACAAGTGAAGTCTTTTAATGTGAAAGTTAAAGTGTTTAATTTAGAAAATGACAAAACATTTTGGCAATAAAGAAGTTTCCCTGTGATTTCTATCATCTGATCTGTCAAATTTTACTTGTGAGCGTTTTTTTTGTTCTTAAAGCATGCATAGTATTTCAAGTTTAGTRTTTGCTGAGATCGCATTCCATTCTGGTTTTTGTCTTCAAAAGTATAATAATGTGCTTATGATTGTCTGCCCCCATATTCTATTCRAAGTGTTTTATAAACTATATTAAATATTCATGTTGCAAATTATGCTGTTTGTACTTGAAATTACTCTGGGAATTTRTAAGGCAAGGTAGAAGTGGGCTCCTACATGGTGAGGCCCTGCTGAACTTCTATTAACTTGGTTTGAGTAACATTCTGACAATCATGGCATGACAAAACTTGAGGATGGGYCATCACTTCCCTGCCTTTCAGCTTTCAAACTTCACCTGGAGATGACAAGTAGCCAGGTTTCAGTGCTYGGAATTATGGGCAGAGATTTACCTCATCTGTCTCCGATAAGATACTTCACTGACACGTTCCCATTGTCTTCAGCTTCTGAGTGATTTTAAGATTAATTTAATATTAGGAGCTTTGATGTGATCTGGCACTGATGTGACACAGATTTATTAATCAGAGAGACAATGTCCTTGGAAAGAGAGGGTGATATAAAGTAACRCCATGCTCCTAAAAATGATTGATGCTGCTGCAGTTTGGAATCCAGCTACACTGACAGCATTCAAACACAAATAAAGAATCACTGAAAAATGTTATCAATTGAATAATTCTCATTATTGSTCTATTTTCCCATTGTTTGTTTTATTCCCCATGTTCTTCTCATCTATATCCTTATCTCAGGCAGGCACCTGAGCAAGATTCCCGCTCAATCATTAACGTTGAAAACAGTTTTGGGGAGAGTAACATTCTCTTTCTTCTCCAGATCTTCCTTGGATTTTTTTTTCTGTTTATATTCAACATCACGACATTTATATGTAACACAGCTTTTCTTATCCAAACTACTGAGTAATTTAAGAGGCTGAGAGGTGGTGGGACTTAAGACTGAGAGTTTGGAAGGCATCTTTGCTTCTCTTTTGTCTTCCTTTTCTACACTTTTCTCTGCCTTTTGAAGATCTACTTGCACTTGTATTAGCTTTTGTTTTATATGTAGGTGTTGTTGTATTGGGAGATTTGAAAATATTGAACTTCCTGATTCTGGAGAACCCGATTAGTTTTAAGCCTTATTGTGGTTAATCAATACAAGTTTGTCCACCTTGGTTACTCTTTGGTGGTTAGAGTGATAGTGAGAAATGTCTCTCTAAAGCTTTACTACTACAATTCCTTAGAAAATAAAGTCCTCCAGAATAGGAGTATTAAATACATCTAAATTTGTACTCTCACACCTGTGTACTAGAATTGGATGCTGGTAAATATAAGAGAGTGTTTTAAGACAATAGAACCTGGAATATGGTCATGCTGTAGACAACGTTTGTTTCCTTCTGACTTACCCTTTCATTATTAGAGTGAGTTGTTTGACAGTACTGATTCAGTCAAAATTACTTAATAGTTAGGAATCTTAATTTGTAACTTCTGCATAATAGGATTGTATMATTTTAGAAGAACTGGCTGGAATCTGTGCTGTATTTCTGACATCTGTAGGGCTTAGATTTCTCGTTCTGCAGYCTTCAGGTGTTCCTTCTGGCTGTTCTGAGGCTCAGCATTCAGTTCTGGTGGAGGAGAATTTGTGTGATAAATTGTATCTGTGTCTTTTATTGTATAATAGATGTTACCATTGGCCCGTGTTGGCAACGACAAGAAGGGGATCGTGCTTATGAATCTTCAGGCAGTGAATCTTGATGCYTATAAAGAGAAGCTGGAAAAAGCAATCAAATCCTATAAGAGGCAAGTCTACTCACCAGAAATTTATCATGTTTGCAGTCATGTTTCATTTTTTCTTATGTATTATCTGTTTGCTTACACATGCTTTGCCTCAATACTGATAATTCTGCATTTTGACATACTTTAAATGCACCATCCTCATGTAGGAGAAATGTTTATTTTCTTAAAAAAAAAGAAAAAAAAGCAAAATGCAAAACCAGGTAATAGGCAAAGAGATAATAAATAACAAYGTGTTGCTCATATTATGTTTGTTCAATGACAAAAGCAAAATTCTTTTACTTTTTGGGAGCAAACCTGAAATCATTCATTCCTCAGGAGGAATCTCCCATAAACATGCAATGCCAGCCAGACTTTTAACTTAAAAATAAGATCCTATATCCATAGACTGACACTTAAATTAGGGACCTGCTTTTTGCTGCCCGCTCTCTATCACCCAGCTATGGATGCTCGAGTATAACTGTGKCACCAATAAGATACTGACAATTTAAATTTGATGGGGTTTTTTTTTTGAGAGACATATGTGTTGTACTTGTTAATAAAATACTAGTAAAAGCACAACAGAAGCAAAAAGGAAAAAGGCATTMGATTTCTAAGCTACTTCTTTCTGTGATCCAACTTTGTGCATTTTTAAAAAATAATACAATTATTTGACTATGGTGAAATTCAGTAATCATTTGAGAGCTTTGACTAGAATTACTTTAATAAATATTTTTAGGCTGTATTCCAATAACATTTACAAATGTAATTATTTTATATGACATAATTTTTTTATTAATTCCACTGAGGCTCTTTAAGATTTGAGGACTTTTTCCTCTGTAGCTATGTGATTATACCAGTTTTTTTCTAAAGTATGTAATAGTTCTCTTTATCATTCCTATTGTCCTATATACGTATTTGTGGTAAAATCAAGAACTTTGATTTGCAAATGCTGCTTTCTATGTCTAATATTAATGGAGTTCAGTGAATAAAAATCTGTCATTTTATTTGTTCTGTGACTGAGACAATACTGTTGTTATCAGGCTGATAAAGAATTCATAGATATTTATTTGTCACTCATTTTGATAGAAAGCTCAAGTGGTGTATTTGTGATGGTGAATTTTGAAAAAAATTCAAGGTTTTCATTGCTGCGCCATACCATTAAATATTTCATATTTGTTGACTTTGATTTTAAGGGAAAGAAAATTGTTTTCTGGTTACACTCTGATGATCTTCTAACAGCCCCTCCACAGTCTCCCTAAAACTTTGATGATGAGGATTTTTGTTTGCTTATGTTCATCAATAGCGATCAATGAACCAGTGTATTTACAATAGTAGGACTTAGCTCCTCCTTCCATGAGAAAGAGGGAGAGGAGACAGATCTGCCTGAAGATCCTTATAATTGACAGTGTGAAAAAGAAATCTCTTTGCTTTTTCTCTACATGTGAAACAGCAACCCAACCCAGTCAAATTTATTTTGCTCTAGATATCACAGCCAGTAACTGAATTTCTAAAAGCTGCAGTTCAGCTTTGTGATTAGTGGTTGGTCACAGATTTATTCTGACATATGTGGATGAAACAATACATCAAGGCATGCAGGTTTCAAGCACAGAAGCAACCATGACAATATCTTCCCCATATGTAGGTTGACTTTAGCATCAGATTTACAGGGAGAAGAGTGCTGAGGGCAGAATTTTTGTGCTCTGACAAAGAGAATATGCAGCATTAAAGGAGAAAAACACTGGAAGCTCCATAATATGTACGAGCTTGTRTAGCCAGAAGTTTTATAAACAAGTTAGTTGTGAGCATGCAGAATTAGAAGGACAAAACAGGCAGTGGAGCATGCTGAGACTGTAGATTGAGAACAAATTAAGTAGTTTTTACTCTAAAAATGCCGGAATTTAGTTTCTAGTAGATAAAATGAATCATCGAGAATTTAATATTCAGAATCTGTTGCTAATGTGGTTTTTTTTGCACATGCAGCAGTAAATCTGGCAAGACTACTAATAGTCAATCAGGTTGCAATCTGAATTTTTCCTAGCAATGAATTGTTCTTGTATATCCAAAGGAAATTTGGATTTTTTTTTTAGAATTGCAGTAATTAGGATCATCAGTAAGCATTTATTTCTATAGTCTGAATGACTTGTTTGAGGTGTTAGTAGAGAAAACCATAAGCTAGATGATCTAATAWGAGTTTAAAATGTATATCCTAAAAAGCAAAAGCAGAAAGTTTAGTGAAGCTTTTAAAAGATCTCAGAACTGAATTGCTGTGGGATAATCACTTCTGTTTTCCTGTCAGTAGCTTTTCTTCATAGCCAGAGTTTAATGAATTAGAAACTGGAATGGCACAACTGAGGAGTAATCTTAGCAGGAAAAAGAATAGAAACTGCCATTACTACATTCAGACTACATTTTCTGAAAATGTTTAATTGGAGGAACCGTGCAGCTTAACTAGCATTTAATCAGTTTTGTTATTTGATTTAGCTTGCTGTTGCTGAAGAGAATCATCCATAGAAAATCCTGGCAGGAAGCAGCAGTGATTGCCATTAAACCTTCTATGACCCTGAAATAGTCATGCTGTTATTTGATGGAAGATACTGTTTTCTCATCTCCTTTTGCAGTTGATAATTTCATAGCTGAATGATAAGGATACAGTTTGATGAGACAGTGTGCTTGGAATACAAATCAGTGCAGATATCTGAAGAAACTGTGTTTATTTGCTAGTTTTGAGATGATCATCTGCACAAGGAACTGCATTCCCTTAAAAACTGCTTTGCTTTCTTTAATAGGCGCCTGAATCTAGTTATTTGGAGAGCACTGTCTCAAGAGGAAAGAGACAAGTAAGCTATCACTTCGGTTTTCTAATGTACCTCTGAAGGGCTGGTCATAAATATTTGACAGTTTTTCTGTATTTCTGTAACTGGTTTAATTTTCAGATATTTCATAACTGTACCTTTCTTTCAAAAATATATTTATATGATATGGAGTAATAGTAAATTCAGTACCTCCCTTTTGTGGTGCTGATTATTTTTAAAGGAAAGGACTTGCATTCCATTTGCATCTTGCTGCTCTATACTTAATCAGTGTCAAGAGGCAGGGCTTTGGGAGGACAGCATCTCATTGCCTTTGACATCCAAGTAAATCTTCTCTCTTCCCGTGAAAAGCACTCCAGTGACTGGTTTGTATAGATGTAATAAGCACTTTAACAACATGAACTGGAACTGTATCTCACTCTGGAAGTTTGTTCTACGTTAACTAACTTATTTTTATATATTGATTTTAAAAATTAATGGCTGTATAAACAGGACTGGCATCAGTGAAATTATCATTTATTTGTGCCAGAGCATAAAGTGAAGATTAATTAGTGAAAACTGAAAGGGCCTGAAATATTTCTTCACAGAAAAATGGAAATGAAAACTAGAATGCTTTTAAGAAAAGACATAAGCTAATGAATAAAAATCACACAGATCTTTCATTAATAAGGAGAATTAAAACCCCATTCTGGTGCAGAGAGGAAATGAAGACTGTTAGTGCAGCATGTAATTAAAAAAAGGAAAATAGATGTCTGTTGATAGACAATGAGTTGCAGAGTATAGAAATTTGACAGGGTGTCATCCAAAATGTTTAGCTATTAATAACATATGGCCAATTATGTATGTAATGAAAGGAAATCATGCAATTRTACAGTCTGTTCCTAGAGGAGTATATTAAATCATTAATATTGTTCCATTGATATTGAAATATTTGATTTCTTTCTCTTCTAAGTTTACAATTTGAATGATCAGGCTCATTTATTACAAAAAGATGACAACATACTTTTAAAATTAGTAATCTGGAAGAAGAGAGTAATAAACAAAGTTGAGTAACTTGGTCACAGGTGTCCTGAAATTATTGGTTGAGGAGCTTTCTGGTTTGCTATTGCATATTAAAATGTTACCTCAGACACTAGAGAAACTCAAATTTACTAGGGAAGTGGTAATATTGTGTTCGTTTTCAAAGTGATTGAGGAAGCCAACTAAGGAGATGTTAGCTTGACCTTTGTTATGAATTAATAATGGTTCAGGTGAGAGAACAAAATCTAGGTAAATAATGATACTGGCCAGGTAATTTCAGTAGAAAACAGTTCCTAGAGAAGCAGAGAGACAAGCAGTCGCATACAGTATAGCAGTGTGGTARGCATCATCATGGTTATATGTGTTGGTAAGACAGACATTTCAATACTCCCCTTAGTTCAARGCTTCATGGTGTTTTACATGTCAGCAAAGCTGTAGAGAAGAGCCACAAAAAAAGCTACTTTTTGAGGACTAAAAAGAATCATATTACTTCCAGTTGAAGATGTCAAGTATTTTATCTGTTCTGGATTTTGAAAAGTTCAGTTTCTTTTGAGGTTTTTTTTTTTTGTTTCCTTTTTTTTTCCCCCAGCAAGGGGACAGTACCAATTTCGCTTCTTGGTTTTTAAGTACCTTTAGTGGGTAGCTTCAAACTGGCTGTAGTGTAGCAGATGTTGACACAATCTGAGCCATGGATGGAAGTACACTCCTGGTCACTTGAGTGACATTGAGGAGTGCAGTACTGACAGAGAAATAAGCAGCAAAAGATTGTCTCTTACGATTAGTCAAGACTGATGTGGCAAGTCAGGACTTAGTAGGTCTCTGATGCCATTTTAGGTTATCTAGATACTTGCCACTTTACCCTACCAGGGATTTCCATAATTTCTCTGCCATATCTGCAAGTTCTTTGTTGGTGCCTTATGTAAAGAACATTTAAAATTACATCAGACATCTATGCTTGGCCACCTGAATTGCTCTGTAGCTGTCTTTCTATAAGATATAGTTAAACCAGTTGTGATTGTTGGACCAAACACAGCAATATCTGGATTAAATGCAAGAACTTGTGGCATACAGAAGATAAATTGGGTAAGTCTGATTCTTTATTCTGCCTTCACAGGTCTGTGACTCTATCTGTAAAGCAGTGACATAAAAAAAAAWTTTCCTACTTGTGTTTATTAACGTTTTTTTAAATATTTTTTAAAAGATTTAAAGAGGATGGGCCAGTCCAATATATAGAGCACAAAGAAGCTTTGCTGGAGGCTTTAGAGAATTTGGGATGGCCAGTTTCCTATGAAGATGTAAAATTGTTAGAAGATGAGATACTAACCRCAATAAAATACATAGAACAAGCCTCTGATCTTCAGGAAGCTATCAAAAAGGAAATTCAGAAAAGCTGTGAATCACACACCAGCAACAATAGAAAGGTAATATATGGGAAGGGATTTTTTTCCTCTTAGATATTCCTCTTCACTATGTATCTCTGGAATACTTTTTTTTTTCCATAATTATTGCTGATAAAGTAGACATTTAGCATGATGCTAAATAAAATGGATAGAGGAAAGAAGGTAGTTAAAAAGAGAGCGAGCTTTCAATTACTTCTTTTAAGTATTGGGAAGTAAAAGTTCTGAAGCTGAGAGATCCACAGAAATCGAGCCTCTTAGAAATAAATCACAGCAAATGCTCTTTATGTCCTCTGCAATGATGGTGGGAAAGCAAAAGGACAGATATATTAAAGGCAATTTAGATTTGAAATTTGTGGATGGGTTAGTATCTGATAAACAGGACTAAAAGATTTTGTGATATTGGAGTAACTCACTGTAATCTTTCGTCCAGTATGTTTCTTGTAAAAGAAAACGTGGAGAGAAGAGGTAGGACTCAACTTCATTTTTATACACTAGAATATAACTTCATTTTTATACACTAGATATGTGGGCATACATGAACTGGTGGCCAATCTCACAGCATTGTGTACTGAGTCAGTGGCATCTGATCTCATCCTGAAGTGGACAACCACTTTTGGCAAGGYAGAGAGGGATTTTTCCTCTTTCCATTTCATTAATACATTAGTCTGGAACCAATACATTAGTCTAGCTACTCTGAAACTGTGGTTGAAATTAGTGTTTTTATTCATTTTACATTAGTTTGAAAATAGTACATTGCTGTTACAGCTATTTTGATTATTRGTTTACCTATGCTGTATAATGTCCCAATACAAGAGCAGCAGAAACATGTTCATGTTTCATTTGTTGAGTGTAATTTTGCTGTTGCCTTGGAACAACCAAGTGTGTACTCTCAGACATGATGTGATTAACATTGTGCAATCACTTATCCTGAGTCAACCTGCTTTAGGAGTCTAATCAGAGCAGCATCTTCAGTAATTGCTAATCTGCAACTGAAAGGCTTCAAGAGTGAGAAGCAGAAATACAGATGTAATTAGAATTCTGTTTATGTGGTAGAGAAACAGTGGGAACAAATTAAAAAAAATGGGGAGCCTTTTAAAAGTGTTGTTGAAGGTTTTGCTAACTGGGATGTCTGCCTACAAAATGGGTATAGAGAAATAAACTGCCTGCTGAAATACATTACAGTAAGGAAATAGCTGATATGGCACTGAATGAGAATTGTCATTGTGACATGGTAGAAAAATCACAATTATCCTGAARTTCTAATCAACAAAGCAGACTTTAAATTTCCTGATGATTTTTTTTCATTAAATTTTAAATAAGACACCTTAGTTTTAAGCATTTATGAGTTTTGAATTACCTACACAACTTCTTAAAAGCATTAGTAGTCCTTTTTGGATGTCCTTGCTATGAGAGCTTTCTGCTTAAGCCTACAACTTAATTAATTAATTAATGGTCTGTACTCGGACCTTCTCTCTGAGTTGTGCTGTGGCTGTTCCATTTGCACATATCTKTGAAATGTGGGCTATTTCAGTGCTGTGTTGGAGCAGGAGGAAGGAGAACAGGGCTATGAGATGATTGAAGATCTCTTGTGCTGCAAGAAGTAAATGCTTTAGGAAGAGAGGAAACACATTTCGTTGTTTTCCAGCAGAACATAGAACACGAAGCATGGATGGTTACCTAGTTGGAGAACTAATTATAGACTGTGTTATACTCAATTCTTTTTGCTGTCCTTACTAAAGCATGAGTTAACAAAAGTCTTCCTCTTTAGGCTGGCTTTTAGCTTTCATCTAAGAAAAATGAAGAATTTATAATTCTTCTAATGAGTAGCTGCTTTGACTTAAATATTTTATCTGTTTTGAACTTGTCAGGTATAACAGTCATCCATGGTGTCTTAGTGGTTTCTTTTCCTKCTTGCATTATAAAGCTGTTTACAAGGTGATGTCACCTAGTGAAAGGAATTGGTCAGGTCCCCTGCCCACCTGTCATCAGACAACCTCAGTCTACTTGGGTTGTGGCATTACTATTCYCCAAGTGTGATAGATTCCAGGACAGTTTGGTGCTTTTTGTTACTGGCTGTAACATTTTAATGTAAAATATTTCTTTCCCCAATGTGGTAATCTGGCCTTTGTGTGTGACGGAGAACATTTCATTACATAGTAAATATTTTTGTTGCTGCATAGTAGTGGATTTCTGCAAGTAGTGGATTCTGCAGAGAAAGGAAGCCACGTTTGTTGCAAAGAATTAACTCTCATTAAGAATATATTTTTAAAAGTCTGTGTTTCTGTAAAGATGAACTGCAGTGTGCAGTGCTCACCCTTGTTTGTGACCCTGCTGGCTGTTCATCATATGATTAAAAGTAACTTAAAATAGTTAATAAACATAATGTGTTTTGTAAAGCATATTTATTTGGGTGGAAAGGGACCTCTAGTGGCTTTATTGAGTCTCTTCGTTCTAAAATAACTTATTTCATATACAATTAATTTAATTATTCCTAATGCAATATTTTTTGYCAAGACTTGATTCTTGGGAAAAAGGGGATATCTGGATCTCTCTTTTATTTCCTGGTGTCCTTTTCTTACACTCCTAATTCTTCCTCAGTGTATAACTTTTCTGCATTCGTATTTCCTAAATGCTCTCGCATCTCTTGCCTTTGTTCTTGTGTCTCTTTAGAGAGACAGAGGRAAAACAAGCATCCCAAAAAGTGCGACAACTAAAAAGTTATAACTACCTGGAGATCAAATTCTCCATTGTCACCAGTGAAGTAACCTCCTGGACAGACAGACAGTAGGTACAAAAAGAGGGTGTTTAGTAAAAATTGGCTGTGTCTACTCAGAACAGGCTTGCTCCCACTGACAGGCAGAGAAAAGTAGTCGTTGCTTGCCTCTGGAGGTGTCAGGATTATGAAAAGCCAAAGTTACAGCCAAGATACATGGAGATCTGTGGATAGTCTTCATGTCTATTCTCACTTATAGTAGGAAAGTGMAAAACCTATTCTTTTTGAAAGGGAATTAGAAACATGAAGCAGCTATTGGAAGAAGTAAACAAAATCTCCTTCACCCATTGTGGTTCAATGCATTGTCTCCGACAGAAGCTGAGCTAAAAACAGTGAAAATCCCTGAGGATCAGATGGGGCTCTTTCGTAAAAAAAATACTGAATGCTAGAAATGGGCATTCTGACAGTTCTGGGTCAGTCGTGCTGAAAATCTGTGTTCAGAGAAAAGAGATCTGGATTTGAATTTCGACAGTGYTTCTGAGCCACCTGAATTCTGCAGGACTCGGAATCCTCATTGTGGATGCTTGTGTTGTCTTTAGTATTTGGATTAATGTGGAGTGCTGGAAGTTGCCCAAGTTAGTAGTCAAGCATTACAAATTAGTTGATAATAAATATTCAGCAGCAGCTGTCCTTTTGGAGCCTGGGGAATTAAGTAAATGCTTTACCCAAATACCTTTTTGTGTCTGTGCAACTGTAGGTCTGCTCTCAAATCAGCCTTTGTTGAGTTGTACTTCAATCCATCAGTTAAGCACAGTGAAGAGCCTCTGGTTTAATCTAAGTTTGAAAACCCAAACTGTTGATATAATTAATATTCAGTGGGAGTAAAGAATAAAGTGGAATAATCCCATGTATCTCAGATTAAAAATATCTCCTTGCCTCTTTTGTGTGTRTGTGTTTTGCTTATTTTTAGGACTAATTTTCTGGGGTTATTAGTGATTTTGGAGGGGGAGTTTGAAAAAAAASATGGTGAAAATTATAGTGAAACTGAGAACAAACAATTTAGTCAAAAGTTATTAATATATTTTCTATCATTATTGACTATTAGGGAAAATCAAGTATCAAGTCAAATATGTCTTTTTAGGAAAAACAAATCATCAAGAAGCAAGTCATAAACATCCTATCAAACAGAGGTATTATTAAGAGTCTAGGAGTCATGCTAGTTTTTCAGAACAATATGTAGATCTGTGGAAAAGTTTGAGATTTCAGGGTGCATATTTTTATGATTCAGAAGAACTGTTAAGAGATGGATGCCTGCAAGTTGTTCACAAGGTAGGCTAATAAATATTTTTTAAATTAATGCGGAAACTGATTTATTTAATGGTGAAAATAAATTTCACCATTTAATGGTGCAACTGATTTAATATAAGCAAGTTTTCCACTTGTTTGTAATTTATATTTAGGAACAATGCTATGAAGAGTATGGCAAAAATAGTTAGGGTACAAAGAACCAAACTAGTGGGGAAGAATAGTGGACAGTGGTAGTTCTGGAAAATGTGGTATATTATTTTGCTAAACTGGAATGTTTTAAAATGATTGAAAATGTAAATTAAATTTTGAATTTGTAGTTTGGAAATAAACTTTTTTTCCCAGATACCTGAAGATTTGTTTGAACATTTTTTTATTTCATTTTTTTTTTTTATGATTTGTTCCATACAATTAGGTACTTTTAATGCAAAACAGATTATTGTTATAACTCTCCTATCTGGACAAAATAAATGTGTAGAGCAAATTTTCTCATTCTGAAAAAACAGTCGATTTTTCCTTACCTCATCCTTGAATATGAATTGGGCAATTTTGTAAAWTTTTTTTGTAGGAAGATAGTAGCCAGAGCTATAATTCATCAAGGTAAATTTCTGCCTGAACACATGAAAATATAGGTAGTGTTATGACCATATAACAGGATTTTATAGTGAAGATTCTTGTATTAATTTATCCACAAGTACTTACTGTACTTAGAACTGTTCTGAAAGTTTGAAGTATTTCCAGTTTACTGTAAATTCTATACAGATGTCATAGCATTACCTTGCCTCAGTTTTCAATTAATTCCAAAGAATAGATTAAGGCAGACTGGATTAGCTGTTGCAGAAGAAATAATTGTATCAAATTACAGAGACTTGAAGAAGAAACTGTGAAGCTGAAGTCTAAGACAAGACAAAAATGGCAAGTATTTCTGACTCACAAAAGCCAAAAGGTAATTGCAAGATCAGACGCCACAGGATTTTATTATCCAGGTATATATTTTTGTCCACATTTTCAATATTATTTAATCTTCCTTAATAAAAGGTAAGTTGTGGTCATAACTGTCTACTTCWTTCTTAATGAGATTTAATATTACATGTACATATTAATGAAAAATGAATATATATTTTGTATGTGCACATATATATGCACTTACAAGAAAACATATATTTTGTAAAGTTGGAGAGCGATGATATTTTTGCCTATGAAAAGTATGGAAGGAAATCGTAAACCAAGCTTTTGCAAGTCTTCAAAAAAAATCACTAAATGCTGCTGCCTTTTTGTTGAGCTTTAAGCCAGAATGATTAGTAAGTAAAACTAAGTTCTGTTGTTTCTTATGAAAAATATTCTCTGTATGTGTGTTTATTTATATGTTATCTATTTTTTGTTTGGTTGGGGCTTTTGTTCAAGTATGTATTTTTTACTGTGGTAGTAGTTCTTTTATGTTAACTGAGATTCACCTGATCAGCTTGCAGATTTCAGCCCTGTGCTTGAAAAAGACTTCCTTTTCTTTTTATAGCATTATTAAGAATGGTTGGTTTTAGGTACAAATGTCTCCATTGCCCTAGCACAGCCTACCATGGCTAAATGAAAATGAAAATATATAGTATAGACATGTTTGACCTAAGTGATGTGTGACAGCCTATAGGCTTTTTTAAAAAAAATAATTACCACAAGGAGTGAAAAGAAAAAAAAAAGAATATTTTATTCTGTTGTTTTTCAGGAACTGTGATAAAGAATATCAGTTCTAGCTGTGCACTTGTTGACTTCAGCAATGGGGAGAGCTGTGATGTCCCTGTCAAGTTCACTATACCTGTGGGAGGTGCTATGCCATGCCCACATCTGCAGGTGAAAAATTGTATTTTTTYATGATTGCAGATATGCATTTTATATTTGTTTATTTGCTCAGACCGAGAATAAATGATAGATATAAAAAAAATATTTTAAATACATCTATTTATTTTAAAGGAGAGTTTTAAATTACAGTACAATCATGCTATTTCAACATGCGTTTTTTCATTTGTTTGAAGATTGTTTTCATTGTAATCCTATTCCTTTGTTTATTAAAGTTATGTATTCTAAATTAATTTATATTGTTTTCTTTATAAAACATGAATGTAACCCCTGCCATAGAAGAAAAGTGAACTATTTATTAGTAGAATTATTGTTTCCTAGCATGTAGATTATAAATGTAGGAGAACCTTTTATACTTAATGTGATGTACAGCAGGTTTTAACCATTTGGTTTCACAGCATGTTTTAAATCCAGCAAATAATCATATACTAATGCAAATAACAGTTATAAAAAAAATACAATCCCTATTCCATTTCTGGTTTTCTTTAAAATTGATTGGCTGACTATCTGTAATTTCAGTTGGGTTTTTTGGTGATTCTTATTTTACACACAAGAAAGGTGATGGTTGCATAAAGAATACAGCAGGGATCCATCTGTTTGGAATAAAAGAAACATGTTTATAATTGCATTGTTACATATAAAACTAGAGATGTCTTTTTTTTCAGTTTGAGTTGAAGGCAAGTCCTTAKGTGGCAGTTCCTGATAATTCTGTAAGGGAAATATCCACCTCTAGAGATCTGCAGAATTTGATATAAAATTGCAACATCTGTGTTCATTTTTAAAACAATTTTGGATAAATAAGTTACATATGAAATAATCTAAAATTCCTAAGGTTGATTTAAAAGCTTATTGAAAGCCTTTAACTTGCATAGAATTCAAGGGAATGCACAGTTTGTAAGAGTTTCCTSATTCAGTTCCACTTGCTGGTGAGCYCAAGTACATTTAGTGGARCTCTGTCCTTTATTTTTGTTTTGTATTCTCTCCCCAGTTCAGTGAAAATTGAGTGATCAGTACATGCAAGGACCAAATCTTTCTTTTCTTTCAAAGGGGCATATTAAAGCATAATTCAAGCAAAAATATCTTAGTCTTGCAAACCTCACAAGTTACATGGTTCTTGCATTGATGCTTTCCTAATGTGCAGGTTGGAGACTATGTGCTTGCCAGAACTGGGACACGGGCCAGAAATGAATATTATGTACCTGCCATTGTCATAGCAAAACCAGAGAGGGTGGAAACAGGTGACAAACTCTACACTGTACTGATGTTCAACAACAGGGAAGTAAGTAAACCTAGGAGAAMATACCAGTCTGATAATTTTACCATTATTCTGTTTTGGAAGAGGCAGATAGAATTTTTCCAGGCTAATGAGCTCACTGTTCCATTCTGGGTCTCCAGCTAAATGGAGTAAATSAGRTTTCTGAGTGCAATGAAGAGCTCAYRTAATAAACTTGAACTGAAAAATTCTGTAGCATAATTTATTCTTAACTCATACTCTGTTCTTTCCTCTCTAATACATTTGGTGGCTTTCATAAGTTCCATACTTCTCAAATAAGAAACACAAGGAATTTTAGCACAGTCAGTATAGCCATAATTTCATTATGTTTGGTTTGATTTTTGTTTGTAAGCCATTATGATAATTTTACTGCAATTTTTATAGAGTGCGTTAAAGAAGATTTACTTTTATATTAATTATCTTTATTAGAGGCTTATTATAGTTACATTTAAACAGTTGACTTTTTATGTATGTTCATTACTTTTGAGATTGAAGTTTAAATTAGTTGAATGTTGATTGTGTTATTGCAGGAACACTGTATAAGAAGAGAGCTCATTAAAATCAGCCAAGCCAAGTATATCTGTTTGTGTCAGTACATAAGAACGGCGCAGACRGTGAATTATGAGATGTGAGTATGTTTGAGCCTAAAAACTATTTTTTTTTTCATGTGAATCCTAAATGTTGTACTTTGAATTCAGTCAGGTTTCCATATGTAACACTCTAACTACAGCTGTTGTGAACTGGCTTACTCTACACATGCAACTAAGTTTATATGAGAATTTATTGCCCTATTTTCACTCTGGAGAAATTGGTGGGATGTGATGGTTTGAAGCTTAGTCCTGGGAAGTTTTTAAGAGGATTGCTGAAAGGTGAGATGGAGTTTTATTTGTAGCAGATCTTATTTTCCTTTTAAGATACGTACTATTATGTACTACACATTAAATTGGAATTCAATTTTCTAAAATCCTGGTTCATCTTCTAGGCTTAAATCTTGGGAATGATGGATAGAGAGTGTGTAAGATGAGTATGAGCCCCTACTTAGGTGGTGCAGAATTAATGTACAACAAGATATGAAGTGTGTACTGAAAATGAACTGCTTCCAAGTGRTTGTGGATTACATTTTCATCTTATATTAAGTTCTAGCTTCATCCAGTTGAAATAGCATTGAATTGTGACACCCTTCAGAGCCCCAACAACTTCAGACAGTTAGCAACAACAAATCTGAGGAAGAACAAAAAGATCAGAACAATCATCTAGGGATGATTCCCAACCTACAATAATATCGGATTTAAAAATGCTCTGAAGCAGAATTTAAATCTCTGTATTAAACAGCCTTGATGGAATTTTCTTCCATAAATTWGTGCAGTTACTTTTTTGAAACCATRTAAATCTTCATCATCTATAGCTTCTTCCCAGGGGCAGTCGCTCAAGTTCACATTTTGTGTGTGAAAAACATAATTTTGTTTTGAATCTTCCATCTGCCTTGAACATCCCACAGGATGAAGGATTTCCTCTTTCATGCAGTATAAGCACTGCTGCTGAATAATCGTATAATCTCCATAACTGGAAGTTTATTTCCAAAAATAGGAGCAGGACAAATCACAGAATTAACTAGGTTGGAAAAGACCTTAGAGATCATTGAGTCCAACCTATGACCCAACACTTCCTTGTCACCTAGACCATGGCACTGAGTGTTACATTCAGTCTTTTCTTAAACATCCTCAGGGACAGTGACTGCTCCACCTCTCTGGGCAGCCCATTCCAGTGCCCCATCACTCTTTCTTTGAAGAACATTAGGAATAATGTCCAGCCTGAACCTCCCCTGGTGCGGCTTGAGGCTGCGTCCTCTTGTACTGTTCCTGGTTACCTGGGAGAAGAGACCAACCTCCAGCTGGCTACACACTCCTTTCAGGTAGTTGTAGAGAAATAAATTCCACCACTAAAGGGAGTTTTAGATCACAGAAACACAGGATGGATCTGACTGGAAGAGACCACAGTGGATCATCTGGTCCAACCTTCCTGCTCAAGCAGGGTCCTCCTAAAGGACATTGCACAGAATCGCATCCAAATGGTTGAATATCTCCAGTGAGGAGGCTGCACACCCTCTCTGGGCAACCTGTTCCAGTGCTTGGTCTCCCACAGATGTTCTTAATTTTCATTGAAATGTTCTAATATGATTATCACCATTAAAGATGACATCTAAAAATTATGGGTGAGGGTACCAGTTGTGCTCTAATCTATGGATTTGCTGAAAATGATGGAATGAAAAGCAACTAAGATTCAAGCATATTTTCTAGTAGTGATCCCAGTATAGTTTGAAACTCAAACCTCCACCAATTTGCAGCAACAGCACAAAACCAAATGAATGCCCTCTCTTTACTGAGCYGAATTCCAGATCTGAAAATAAATCAATGCCTTTTCCCAGGCCACATCATTGATGTGACGGTAGCCTCTTCTCACCGAGACCATGGTTTCCTTCTTAATGCCTACAACCTCTTGAAAAGAGGCAGGTGTATAACTAGTCTGAGTTCCAGCAAAATTAGCAGAAATTTTTCCCTTCCACTGTGTTGKATTGTATTCTAAATGAAGTACCACATTAAGAAAAGATGTGACTAAATGCATAAGCAATAAGAATAGTGTCTRTTCTGTATGCTTTGTTTCATGAATGAGTGCTTTGATACAGAATATTCACTTTCCAAAGAGAATTTATTAAGCAAGCTGACTTRCCATTTTTATGTTCAAATGAAGGGAAAATTGAGCTATGCACTGGCAAACAGAGAAATTCTTTGGAGAATTATCTGAAATGAATGCACTGAATAGAATTTCCATTAGAACKTCTACCTTTTAAGAGGGCATGGAARWGTGCTTTGCAATGAAACTTGTTATTTATTGTATTTCTAAAAGAAATCCCTACTTCCTATGTCATTCTTAGAGGGCTACACTTCAGCATATTGCTGTTGGGTATGCACAGATCTAATGAGAAAGTGCTGACATTGTTGATAGGAACAATGTAAAAGCATAATTTAATCAGAAAATAATCAAGAAGTTGGAATGCAATATGATATTAGAACCTCAGAAAGAGACAAACCSTTTGTGCTAAGTTCTGGAGTAGTAGGGGAAAAAATATTAAAAGGCATATCCCAGGTTCCCATGTTGACAGGAATTCCACAGTGCACACAGATGTATTACAATGGTTTGGCCAACTGGCTCTGAGTTCTCTGGGACTGTCTTTTAATGTTTTGTGTTGTGTATTAGGAGTTATGCTTAATTCACTAATCTTTAGAAGTACTAATATAGCTCTCATGATTTTACTATCAGACATTAGCATCTGTCTGGGGTATTTTCCTGCCCTCACTGTGGAAAGAAATAATTATGACAGAACAAGCACTCCGCAAATGTAGCTAATGAGTTCCATATGCAAAGTGAAACACTGTGTGATCTGGACCCACACAGCAAAAGGGCATTAATGCCCACATAGTTTCTGGTGTCATAAGATGCAGGTAAGATTAAGGTCCAGAGCCCTGTTTTAGGCTATCCTTCACTTATTCTATCARTAAAAGGGAAACTGAATTGTAGGCCATTTATAGCCCTGCCAAATGGTCAAGAGTGTGGTAAGTTCTTCTCTTGTCAGTACTGTGAGATGTGGAAAAAGGCGAAATCTATGTCTTGTAAAAGAGAATTTATGATTTGTGTGCTTTTAGCTTTGCGAATTTCCTTTTCTGGTTTTCATCCTGGACAGTGAGACCACAAAGCCCTGCCCTCACTTACCTGTAGAAGATGAAGGAGGAGAAGAAGCCAAAAGAAGTGTTGTGAAAGAAAAGAGGGGGGAAAGGAAGAGGACAGCAGAAGACAAAAGGCATCCCAGGAAGAAGATGTCAGACTTTGATGAAATTTTGTTTGTTTCCAAAAGTGAAGTAAAACAGAAAGGAAGAAATTCACTGTCGAGCTTTAAAGAAGACTTTAGAGGTAAAGAAATAGCTGTGAAAAAGTAGAAGTATTAGGAATGAAACAGTTCTGATGGGCCTTTAGTTATTCCCCACACAAGGACTAGGTTTCTGCATTTCTGGGTGTTAGCCAAGTTAGCTTTCCCATGTTCTGTGTGATGAAATTCTTTCTCCTCCTTTGGAAGCTGTTCTTGACACTTTTTCAGCATGTGTTTTCATAGCAAAGGCAAGGAATGAATAAAGCATGTTCCAGCATGTTAATTTCCCTAACAGTTGCAGTGAGGATGCAGTWACACATACCTTAGTATCTGCTTGTAAGCAGAGTATATATTCCAGTCCCTCTTCTTTGTTCTTTGTTAGATTAAAGTTATGTCTGTATTGCAGGTGTTAAATTGTTGCACTTGTAACTCAATGCTTCAGAAGTTAAATTGCTTTTGGTGTACAAGCCAGCTCACTTGAAGCTGACAGCAGTACTCCCTGTCACTCTGCAGCAGAGACTGGGCTAGTGTAGGTCTGCCATCACACGCCAGTCAGTTCTTCATTTTCAAGACCCTACTGTCAGTGGAAAGATAACAGGGGTTTTATCCATTCTTACTAGGTGTACCTCCTTGTACAATTTTAAATACGTTCTCAACAGCCTCATTATTTATTTGCTTCCAGAAGCAGTGGGTTATAGATTCAGTCAATCAACRTGTTGTCAGTCAACTTGATTTGGCTCCTCTGAATGTTCCTTCTGTGTTCTCACTCATCCTTTAAAGATTGCCTGCAAATTCCATTTACATTGCTTATAGTGGGTATTATGATGCCTGATCAGAATGGCCTGATTATATGAGAGTAGAGATGTTGGGCTTCTCCAGTGAGAGACCATGGTTTCCRAAGATGGGAAAAGGTTCACTGGAAATGCTCAGTTATTGTGGACACCTTCCTCTTGCACATTTCAATATGCAAATGCTGAGTAAATGTGAAATAATGCTAATGTGATCAGCAAGTCCTGTAACTGATTCTATGCAGCTTGGAGGAAAGATTACATGAGAGCAATGGTTATCTATGCATTTTAATCCTGCCTAGCCTTAGCAAATAATCACATAGTACTCTAATAAAGCTTGAACATTGTATGCAGGTTGAACATGCTAAAGAAGGTACCTTGTCCTCTTCTTGTGACATCATAAATATTGAATATGTTTTTTTTCCCTAAAATTTATTTTTGCTTACATAGCCTTTTGTATTTTATCAGAAAGGGAAAAGTCAGAGAGCTGAAAAAGATGTTAAGTAACAAACACTATATGGTTATCCTCACATGGTTTCATTAGATTCTTCTTTATCTAATCTCTGTATGTGACTGTGCCTTTATCCTCTTTGGATGTAGATAGCTGCCCCATTTTCATACCRTGTTAATGTTTCACAGCACTCTGTATATAATTTGTAAGTTATATCAAATGTGTTACATGACCCCTGATACACACATCTATTTGAACTGTGTTAATGCTGGATTTCATTTTCAAGATTAAGAGAATAAAGAAAACAAATTTGCCTGGCACTGTTGTTTCCTTCTGCCCAACTTTCAGTCTAGTATGAACCATTAGTTTACAGTTACTTCTTGGCAGTTCAATATGTGTTGAGTGCCAGATCTGTGAGATTCACCTATACAGGTTAACACTTTTCCTTAGATTAGAAGTTGTCATATTTGATTACGTTCATGTGGGTAGGTGTTAAATAACATGGATGAGGAGTTGGAAAGCCTTGCCATTCTAATGAATTATTCATTTAGTCTCTGTGGACCACATATTAAAAATACCAGGTATTTAAATCCCTTCATGGAGTTTTTGTAATGCTGAAATAAGGCTGGATATTCAAGGAACCAAAACTGCACAAGTGAGGTAAAACACCCTGTTTTCCTCTTCAGACCCCTGTAGCACTCTAAAGCCTCAATTATTGCCTTTCATACGCTGGACACACCAATGTTTATCAGAGTGATCCCTGTGCCCAGGTTTTCCTTACTTCAGTTGATTTCATTACTTCATTATTTCTGGATAGTTTATAACAAAGGCAGATTTTTTTAAAAAAAAACATCTCTGAGTAAGCATCTCAGAAAATGTTTTGAATAGCTGTAATAATAACAACTTTCATAGATAAAYGGCTTTTACAGGACTGAAGTTATGTCTATATTATTTTTAGATTTCTAAAAGCAGTCTGTTAAACTGGGTTTATCTGAGAGATGTAGTARTCCAACTGGGCTATGTTTTGCAACTATTTGATGTGTTAATCAACACTTATGCCTATGTTTCTGCTGACTTCATGAGAACATTCATCTGTTATATGAAGAAGTAAGTTCTCCTGAACTTGAATGAGCTTTGCCAGATACAGACATGGATATTTGTTCTGTTCAAGGTAATGTGGATTCAGCTACATGGCTCTTACACAAGTGGTCAACAAAGCCTTGTATTTCCATAAAGCATTATATTTTCACCGACCTGTGGGCCCTGTATGAATTCAGGGAGCATTTTGGAATGTTTGTGGCTTGGTTTGTGCTTAGCTAAAATATTTCTGATTGTTAAGAGGAACAACAACCCATTCCTGCTTAGGAGAAAAACATAGAGAAGTGAATAAAGACTCTAAGTAATAGCATTAGTTATTTAATACATATTAGATTCATTGCTGTGTTGAATGAATGCTGTCTTATTTCTTCCAGAATTACTACATTTGGAACATTATTATTTTGATGTGTATGCTTGCCACTTCTTCTGTGTTAGTTAGCTCTATGTGTTTATAAGAGAGCAAATGAAGCCCTGACAAATTCCTGCTGATTGTTGGCTAATGGTTCTTTGTCTTGGTAACTCAGATAATAATATCTGATGTAGCAAGACCATTGATACTTAACTCTGTCCTTGGTTATTGCAATAATTGTTTTTATAAATACATTAAAATAATGTGTTTCTTTCTGTAGAAAAATTATTCTGCCTGTCTTTCTAGTTTYCTCTCTGTTCTGTAATTCCTAAAATCAGTGTTCATTCCACATGATTTCCTAGTCAATTTTCAAAAATGTGTATCTAGAAAAAAAAATCAGAAAAAGTTTGGAGTATATGTGTATCATACATGGAGGCATGATACACAGTAACACACTGAATTGCCTGATGCATTAGCAAATAATGGCTTTCAGAGCCAAAATCTCCTTTTTCATTTRTAATGAGATGTGACTTGAAGCAATTATGCCAATAATTACTGTAACTGCCAATATGGGGTAGTTGGGAGACCTTTGAAAATTAGCGTTTTCTATCCTTTTCTGTGGYAAATGTAATTCCTCTGAATTGAGTTCAAGAGTGGAGCAGCTGTGGCACCTGGCATTCTAGTATATTGGCTGGATTTTCCACAGTAGGATTTCACATTTTTAGCACCCACTCRTTTTCCAGTCTCATTTTCCATCCAGTCCATTCAGCTTTGGAGAAGGCTATGATAATAAAGCAGTGTTCCCATCTGTTGGTCATGGCTTGTTTAATGAGCAGTTGATGTCAATTCAGCTATGCCTGCATCTGTTCCTTACTGCAGCTGTGTGTGGTTAAGGGCTCCCCAACAGCTGCCAGATTCAACTTTTTTTTTGTCTCTTGATAACCACATTACAGCTTGGCCAAAACATTCTGTCTTCTCTCAGGGTTGTCCACTCATGGAAAGAGGAAAGTGTGCTTAACTCTCTGTCTCTTTCTGCATAAAGAATGAAATATGGAGACAGGCATGGGAAAGAAGTGAAATTCCTTTGGTTTAGGAGGCATGTTTGRGAGTATCTGAGAGCAGAGATAGAGGACAGTTCTGTCCCTACCCAAGCCATGAGATGAGGTTTGCTGATGCAGCCTTGCCTCARCCTGGCTCAGTAGTGCCCAGGTTCCAATCTAACAGCAAACATGCTGAAGGACAAAACAGTCTGAGGGATGATTTCAACACATTATAAGCTTGGTCTTCTAATTACAGGGCTGTAAGAAAAAGTTAGAAGCAAACAAACATGTCTGTGGCCTAAACTAAACACCAGYTCTTTTTGCCCAGCTCTTCCACTCCAAAATCTATTAAAGTTGGAGTCTCAGCACTGRCAATGTCACTCCTTCCTTTGAAAGTTGCTCCATGTCTCAGACCTTAGCAGGTCTAGAAGAGATAATTGTCCATTTCCAGTGGCGTTCCCTGCTCCACTTTCCCTCACAGGTAATTGAGACCTGAGCATTGCAGCATCCAAGCAGCTGCCTCTCTGYCCATTTTCCACATGTTCTTTAGTTGCTTGAGGCTTTTGAGGAGAGGATATTGGGAAATTTGTGACACAGGCTTTGACATGTAGTCACAGCTATCTACATACACTGATCTTGAGCTCAGGTTTGTGAGTGTAAGCTGAGGTTTGGCTATGTCAGACAGTGATGATGAGAATGCACACCTCATCTTTCTTTCATGTTGTATGTATGCAGATTTTTATTGTGCAAACAGCTCTGTCAGTCCCATGAGTCAAACAGAAGCCACCTGACAGTGGCTGTTGCACTGATGCTGCGTTGTTCAGTCCAGACAAGAAGCAGCCTGAACTAGTTTAAGATCCAYCCTACAGTGCCAGAGCTACATAGTCGCTTGTAGGCTCAGAGTTAGAGCCTGGGTACTCACGCTCGAAAACAAAATCTGGGACAGCAGTAAGTAATAGATATTTGGGGGTGAAGACTTTTCAAGCCCAACCTTCTCCTCGGATTAGATCACTGCCATGATGCCCTCCTTGGGGTGCCTTGTTATCCACTCCCTGAAGGCTCGGCTGGTGCAGTGAGTGCTGCTGCCTCTCCTGCGCTCCGTGTGCGGTGCTGGTGGAGCTGCTGCAGGGTCTGGCTCTTCGGTCCWCGCAGCACTGGTCTCCCTGCTGTCTGGGATGCACTGGGACTGTGCTGGGAACATAAGAGGGGTTCCTGGGAGAAGATGGACTCATTATGCCAGAAATTCAGAGAATCACCATCTCCCCATGCTCTTTCTGATACAATATGTTGTGAATCTACTCAATTTYCACAGCTGAAATGGAAACCCAAATCTGTTACCAAGAAATGTGTGTGAGGAGTGAATTCAGGTAATGCAGTGAATACAGATGGCAAATACWGCAGAATGTTTTTTTTGTTTTCTTTCTACTATATTTCATGTTTTCAACCTTTTCTGCCTGTCTGCGGAGCCTGGCTTTGTTCTGAAAGTCTTTTCATGCATACTGCATTCATTTACCACCCACAGATGTTGCCTGTTTATTCTCTTCTGCTGTTTTTATTGATCTTACATGAAAGTCACCTTGAACTGAAAGAGCTTTTCCCTTGCTAGGTGTGCAAAGTATTAAAAAATGTAAATACAACAATACAAAATACAGGGACTAAGCAAGTTTTTGTAGGGATTGCTGTTACAGGAAGTCATTGATACTGAAACTGAGCTGTCCATAAGAAGGCAAGATGCTCTTGGATTTAATAGACAGCTCACAGGATGGTGGCAGACTAAACACCATGGCATGTGTGTTACACCTTTCAGTATTTACCTGGGTCCTTCTTGAATAGAAGCATATTTTGGTACTTACCATTTTTAAAATTTACATAATAAGAGGTGACATGGGGTGATTGGTTTGCCTGTGGATAAATTATGAGAGGTGTAGCACCCGAGAAAAATTCTTCCACAAGAAAATTCCTTCCAGTGTTTACCATCAGTCTTTCTTTTAAGCAGCAGCTTTACAGACAAAGGAAACTCAGACCCTTCCTTGACAAACAAGAGGCAGCACTTCAGCCTCCCAGCTTGGTATTGAGTGCTTAAATATCTTTTGCACATGAATTTAAAAACAWGTTTCCAGGCAATTACCTTGCAAGTATGCTTGCAGTGCTGGCAGCTGTGTTGGCTTGTTTGTTCCCTTAATTAAATATATGGCTAAATGCATCCAGCCACATTAGCTCTGGCTGGGATGAGCARTGCTGTGCTTGCTGATCCCTTCAGTTCTGCCAGCCCTCGTGGTCAGAGAGCAGCTACACTCTGTCACTGTGTGTTTTCAGCCCGAGCCCGAAAGCTACACAGACTTCCCTCATGTCTTCCAGGACAAAAATTTTTCTTTGCCTCTTCTTTCTCATTTTCTTATCATRAAAGAGCAGCACAACTTTCCTAGTGACAAACCAGCAGCTGACTACTAGTTTGTGGTCCTTTTACTCCCTTTTGCAAGCCAACCCACTTTGTATTCCTTAAAGAGATCAATACAACCAAATGAGCAGTCTGACCAGTTTTGACCATTACCTGTACAATTGAGCTGCAAAAGCCTCGAAGTTCACAGCATGCCACAGCAGTGAACACAATATTCCCCACCTCCCACCAGCAATTGAAACTTTTGTTCCTGTATAAGTGTGACCTTGTGTGTATGTGATTTACAGCAAAGCAGTCAGGGAGGAGCTGAGAGGTCAAGGCTGCTCCTGCACAGAAACCAGCAAAGACAGATCTCACAATATTTATGCAGTGGGTCTGGAAAAGTAGGTAATAATAAAGAAAGTTTTATTATACACTGTACCTACATGCTCATGTATTGCTGTTTGGCATTTTTTTTCCCCTTGAATTAAACTATGAGCACTTTTACAAGGGCCTAGTACATCTTACAAGCTGTGCAATGCTGAGCTCAGTGGCACTGCCCTTTTGATCTTCCTGGCAGTGGCCTCAGATAACTGTGAGGGCTTGTTGTTACAGGAACTCTGGACACCAATGTACACAATGCYGCTTAATTCCCATAATATTCGCCTGGTACTTACAACTATACAATACTTTAAAAATGGGTCTCATTTGTGACACTTGTGGGTTTTTATGAACTAAAATGTATATTGAAATGTACAAGAAGAAAGGTAGCCAAGTTTGTACATTCTTAACGATTTTCATCTGAGAGCTGAAATCTAAATGCAAGCACTTGATGTGTGTCCAGGATAGAGAATTAGCATTCAAGTGAAAGGAGAGGGAGGAAAATCCCATGATTTGGGATTTTAGATGTGATTCTCRTGGATGCTGTAGCCACAAATA